ACTACCCATCTTGTATTTCTCAAGCGAGAGCCACGAAGCAAAATTTGTTTTGATTCTTTAAACATAAAAAATGATTTTTTAAAACTGATGGTTTATAATTATACGCTATCAAACTTACTGCTTTTCAATATTACATTGTAAAAAGATAAAAGTAAAACGAGAAAAACACTGAGTATTAACAGAGTTCGGGTGGTAGATGTTACTAATATAAAGTACAGTTTACTGCCTCTTTCATTCTTTCAAAAAAACAAAATACTGCAATTGAGGCTTTATCCTCAGCTAATTATAAATTCACAGTTTCAAGTACATTGCGTAATATTTCCGTTCCAATTTCATATTTCAAGTTGCATTTTATAGTTTTTTCCAATTGTTATACATATTTAACGTACTGTTCCTCACAAGTTCCAAATAATTTAAATAAACCAAAAAGTCTCCACTGCAACCACACAAACATTCTAAAAAATTGCGCTCTATGTGGTAATACGACAAACCTATTTTTTTTCTCATTTTCTCATTCTCATTTTCAGTAATCAGTGTCCCAGTAAATTCGTTCAAATTTTCATTTGGTTTTTCGCACTCGATTTCACAAGAAAACAATTTAATCTTTCCTTCCTCCTTCAAGTGAGACGTGCACTCAAAACCGCGACACATCGTTAGATTGGTTTCACCATTTATCTTTGAGGTTTCTACATAACACAGTCCATTCGTTTCGCTTGACGATAACAGTAACAGATCCGCCGGGAAATCCTTATTTTGTTCAACTTTTAAAATGTCACCAACAACTATCTGAACTTAGCGCACGATTACAAACAATTTATCAGAGATTGTTCTTTTGCTGTTTTACCATTCAGTTTTAAAATACACTGCAAACAGATATTTAAGCTTTATATTTACAGAGGAACTTTTGCAAAATCAGTATCTAGAGATTAGACTCCTTGGTTTTTTTTACTAGAGGTAAAAGCTTAAACTAAAGCTGATCATAAAGAAACCTCTTTCCAAACTGAACTAGTCCACTTTCCATTTCTTAGAACAGTTGTTTCAGTGCTGTTCACCTCGCCATCAAACCTCTTCCTCTTCTAAACTGAAAGGGTCATCCACAATTTTATCCAACTATATTTCTTGTTTAGTTATGTAAAGTGACAAGCCAACTTGACCCATTTAAATAAAATATAACTCTTGTAACATTCCATTCCTGTTGTCAAGCGGTTAAAAATTAGGAAAGCCAAAAGTAGAACTATAAATTTTTTCAATCATAATCAGTCAGCGTAAGATATATAAAAAGTTATGCATTAGCCTCAAAAACTTGAGGAATTGCTCAGATATAATAAGAGCTAAAAGTTATTTAAAAAGATCAATCTCTCACTAAGTCTTCACAAATTTCTATTACGGCAGTGACGAGAAAAGAGAATAAGAGGAAAGCGGGTGTGACAAGACGGTTCACAGAACTGGTTCCAGGAATTAGCTGAAGTACATAAAAAAGGTGCAATTATTTCAACAAGAGATATTTCAAAAAACTCGTTTGTTTAAATTATAACGCAATATATTGAACAAAAGCTTTTAATAATTGATATTTTTCAATTTTACTTTTTTAAAATTAGAAGAAAAATAAGGTAAGTGGGAAAAAAAGATTCCTTACTTGCACCAAAACTACTGAGAGAAAAAACAGATTATTGTAGAGCCGGAAGTGGTGGTAGAGGAGTCGAGGTAGAAAGTCGAGGTAGAAGCGGCTATATTTTGTGGTGCTAAAAACTGAGTTATTTTGAGATTGCTTTACAATTTTTACATGCCAATCGTTTAATAAATAGTTCTAAAAACTTTCTTGCCTTATGGCGTTAGGAGCAAATTTTATATTCTTTTTCAAGGAATTTACGTAAATCTTTCTCCTTTTCGTGACATTTGACAATTCGGACTTGCTTTCAAAGAAACGTTTTCCCAAAAACTGCAGGTGTCCAATGAGATCGCACTCCTCCCTGCAAGTAGATGGGGTGCGTAACACGACTTTGATGCTGTTCAGCTCTTCCTTATTGGCTTCTGGACATATAAATAAGTGTGAATTTGCTTTACTCACTTGAAAAAACCTTATCGAAATAGAAAGTCGTATTTCAATTTCAAAGACATTTACTCTTATTAAACTGCACCTGAAAATTTTCGTTTAGTTACTTTTTGTTTCACTAGTCATACGCTAGAGTAGCATTCTCTGCAGTTATGTTCTTCTACTTCGTCGTGCAGCAACACTGTGGTTTTAATAGCATTTTTGCATATAATTGTGAAACAAATGTCTCGCAGATCAACAGTTTTAATTTAAAGATATTTTAAAAAGTTTTCTTTAATTGAGAAATTTTTTCGATTATTTAATAGTCAATGACGAAGCAAATGCAAGAAGGCAGAAGTTGAGAAAAAACTTGCACCCTCCTCCCAAAAAAACGAAAAGTAAACTAAGTTTTGATAAAGGCTACGTAAAATTCCAAACGGGAACTTTTAGCTTGTTTTATACAAAAATGAATTCGCAAATAAAAGCCATAAATTGGGTGTTGTGAAATTGTGAAACAGCAGTAAAAGGACAATTTCTAAGGCAGTTACGGCAACAAAGTGCAGTTAGTTTCTTTGAAGCCGGCTAAGACATGCTGAAAAAAATTTTCATGATTGAATAGAAAAAAATTGTTTTTACAATCATCTTTAAACCCTCTATTAGAGTTTCTTATAAAGCCTTGTTTCATACACCATCAGTTTTTTTTAAACACTACTTGTCAGTTGCTTCTTTGCTGCTGTTTAAAATGGAAATTAACCGGTGTCATAGAACGAAGCTTTAGTTTTCATTCTTGAAAATCATACCTCTTTTAACAACTTTAAAATACAACTATTTTCCTAATCAGTTTAAGAGGAGAAGTTCAAATTAATAAACCGTGAATAAAATAGCTAAAACTGATTACACCAGTCAAACTCAGTGCAGTAAATTCCATTCTTTTTAAGAACCTGTTATTCCTTGGAATAGTTCTCAAATTTACTTATTAGTTTGAATGACTCTGTGATGTCGTCATCTGAAAGACAAATTTATAAAAGATAAACCACTGAAATTTCCAATATTATTTCAGCTACGACTTATCCTCTGCACTTTCGACTCTGTTGTATGGAGTTTATTACATTTATAAAAAATAAATTCTAAACAGTTGAAGAGAACCAGGTTAGTAAAACAGTTTTCTTTCGGCAATAGTGATTGAGTTAGTCAACTGCGGGATTTACTTGCAAATTCATGAAGTATTCAGGGTACGATAGGTTGTTGCACGTTAATTGCCTACACTGTAGTGTTAAAGAAAAAAAAATAAAAGCTATTCTTTGTTGTAAAATAAAGTATAAAATAGAAACAGAAAAAATAAGGTAAAATAGCGAAAAACTCAAATAAACCTGGGATAAGGTTAGAGACAAAGCGAAAGCCCAAGAACAAAAAAGTAAAGTTAAAACACTGAATTCGTAAAGGTGTAAAGACTTTTCTTGAGAAAGGTAAAATTAGTATGCATCAATAAAATTAATGCAGTAAAATTTACGGTCGGAATTGAAAGATAAACGAAAATGAATATAACTGGGGACGGTTTAAAGAAAAGAATCAAATTGAAAAATGTGTGCGTTAAAAAGTCAGAAAAAATATCAGTCAATAGAAGAGAATTTCACAAAATGATTGTAATTAATTCATTTTTGTCTGAGGTCTCTCGCAGTAGCAGAAACTTGGCTTACATTTAAAGCGCTCGTCTTGTGATGATTTCGTAAGGTTAGCCGCTGAATACCGCAAAAAAAGAATCACTCAGCAGCAATCACAAAGCTCCAGATACACCTGAAACTAAAAAGCAGCATAAGACTGCATCTAAGAAAAAAATCACCTTAAATTAGCAGCTGAAAATTCATACTGATGTCAGAGTCATTGATTTTAGACAATTAGTTTTCAGCTGCTAATTACTCGTCATTTTTAGAAAGCGTAACAGCATTTCAAAGTAATCGACAGACGAAAAAATGTTGACTAAGCTGTGGAAAAGGACAAATATTAGAATTTCGTAACAATAAATTATTGTCTTCTTAATATAATCGTATAAACATTAGTTAATTTTTACGAGAAAAATAAAAAAAAAAATTAAGCAGTGAAAACAGCCAAATAGCTTTTATTCTACTTTATTTTATGGTATATCATTAGCAACATCATATCATCAGTTGCTACACTTGGTGCTTTTTGACCCTACTGTTTCTTTTACATTTTTCTTGTAGGTAAATTAGATGAGGCAGAAGCCTTTTGTCGTCACTTGATTGAAAGCAAAAACCATTATAGAAATAGCAAAAAGGTTCTAAAAAAAGACTGGTAGAGAATCAGGAGTAGTTAAACAGCAAAATACAGTGGGTACATTTTTTTATCATCTGAGGACTTGTGGTATCAGTAAACATTCTACACAGTTGTAAGCATAATAATATTTTTGCTTGCTATCAGTATTATCGCGCTTGCACTTGTCTTACTTTTTTCTACATTCAACTTAACGTCTAATTCTTCAAAATTGAGGTTAAAAAAACTTGATGCGTTTAGTAAAGTTTGCTCTGGGCTACTGACAGAAATTTATGATGACAGCTATGAGTAGTATTAGTAATTTATCAAGTAGCAGTAAAATGTGTATTGCCCTACTTCGCAATGGTTATTTTATTATTTTTAAACAACTTTGAATCTATAATCAGAATATTCAAAGACATTCAAAAGGATACTGTAAAACAGTTATAAAAACAACTTTTGTGGCTAAAATTCAGTAATCTTGTATTAATAGTGGTTTGTACAATGTTGATAAAATCTTCAAATGCAGTTCTTGACATTATAATTACGCCCTACCGCAATGTTTGAAATTTTACATCCTCTTTGCTACAACCTTTTTTTATCTTCAAAAATAAAAGTCTGTATTGGTAACAAATGTACCTAGCAGCAGTACTTTTTTGACAGTGAAAGGTAGTATTAAAGAGTTGATAAATAAATGAGTGTTAGCGAAAATTAAGCCTGGTTGAAAACTTGCTTTGCTAAAACACTATGTACTTGTTGCTTTAGAGTTTAGAAGCAGTCTAGAAGTTATTAAATCATTTGTCACTAAAGATTAGCAGCTTTTAAGACAATCAAGTCGTCACAGGTTTTCAGTCGTAAAAATTATATGTTTAAATCAGCATTTTTGCTAAACTGTCATCAAAAGGAATTTCAGCAACTTGTTTATTTAACTCGCAATTTCTGACAAAGGTCCAGGGGTTAAATGAATTCTACCGTCAGCTTCGAATAGAATAATGAATAGAAGGAATGGTGCAATAGCAGAACTGTTTTACTCAGACTTCGTTCTTGTCCATCAAATTTTGTAACTTTCTGTTTATAAACCTCTAATGGATGTCTAAATGATTATTTTTTAGTGTCGTTTACCTTTTTTTTTGACGCGAAGCACTTCAATACAAATGTATAATGAATAGTTATGAAACCGAACTCCAGCCAGCAGTTGCATCTGTAGATCATCTGCTTTTACAGAAAAAAATAAGCATAAAGTTAGTCTAGGTGAAAAAAACTTTATTAACGTAGAGAAGTAAGTTTAAGATGATAAAAAATATCATCACAACAGTGGCGCAATTAATTTTAAAAATTTGTTACTGTTGCAAAACGTTTAAACTTAAAGCAAAAAAAAAAGACGCGTGAAGCGTAAACCGAAGCAAATTGATGGAGGTATATGACCATGCAGTCAGCACACGTGCATAACGGTTACTCATAAAAATTGAAGCAAAAATGATTCTGACTTTTTGACAAGTTCACACTAAAGACAATAAGAAGTGTGCTTTACTTCGTTGTGGGTACGCTGTTTTAAACTTATCTCTGCGTTCTATTGCGCGTCGGCAAAAATTGGCTAAAAAATGCTTAATTTACAGGTATTTAATCTTTAAGAACAAAAAAAAGTGCAGAAAAGGTAAAAGGCAAGATGGAAACAGACAGCAAAAAAGCTTTGTTTTTTATCTCGCTTGTTTTATTATTGTACCAAAAGCAAACAAATCATCACTTGCGAAAGCTAACGCATCAGCCCTGACAACCTTATCAGTAACTGTTTCATAAAGCACTAAGCAAAAATTTTTGCAACATTGTCTATGTGTCTTGAAGCGGCTTGAATAAAAAT